TAAAAAAATAAATCAGAGCTAAAAAAGTGCAAAAACACAGGCAAATTTGCCTGCGTTCTACTACAATCTAAGGGATACCATCAGATGGAATAAGAAGAAAATTCATGTTTCTACTACCTATGAACAGCACCAACCTCTACCTGCCTAATCTACTATTATTGATGAAAAAGAGTTAGCCCAATTCGAACAGGAATATCTAACCCCAAGGAAGCTTATACTGTTACTTCTGCAACCTTAACAAATGAAGACTCTTGGACTATCCAAACCTCTAGATCCAGATGTCGAACTTCCCAAGTATCATCTAGTAGAACTTGCCGAGGATGCAACTCTGCTAGTTATCTTTTTGCTGATTGCCCCCATAACCAATGTCATCATTGTCATCAATATGGACATATCTCTGCTCACTATCCTCACCAAGCTCCAAAGAGAGATATTTATAAAACCTGCTCTCAACCTGGACATCTTTATAGAAACTGTCCTCAAAATAGATGTCATCAATGTGATCAATATGGTTATATCAGAATTGATTGCCCTCTTGTTGTTTACAAGCTGGATAGCTAAAGATACAGATGTGGATGTTCACCAGATGAAGTGAATAACCAATGGCAAACCTACTATTCATAAAGAAGAACTCACCATTGTTGTCAATACAAAGTACCCCAAAGACCTGAAGAACTTAAATTGCTTGACCAGAATCTCATCTATAGAGCATGTTGGACTGATTTTCATCATGAATTAGATCGAAGTGACTCTCGAAGCATTGAATACTTTACCGATGGTGATGGTTGAGGAATGTTGACCAAATGTTAAGTTTGTAATGAAAAATTCATTAGATCTAGAATATATAAACTAGACACAGTCAAAGAAGATACCTGGTTTTGCGACTTAAAGCATTTATATGCTTACAAAGCTGCCAAAGATGTTGAATGGAACCCTAACCACAATCTGTGGACCTGAGTTAAACACTATACCGAGTCTACTAGAAATGCAGGACATGCATATGACCTCAACCAAAGTCGAATCTATCACTTAGCTCAGATCCAACTAGGAGAAAGCAATAAACAGATTGCTAGTGCACTCGAACTTCTAGCAACTGACTGATCTAACCATGACTACACAGATGATGAAATAAACCTCATTATGAGAGCCCCTTATATTCAACTAACCTCAACTGAAGAAGATGAGTTACAAAGAATTCTTGCTGAATCTTTCGATATCAGCCATTCAGATTTTGACCAGCACCGAGCAATGCAAAATCTACAAAGAAATTTCCAAGGAACTGTAGGACTCTGTAAAAATTGTCTTATAGCCAAAGCTAAGACTGAACTTGCACAATACGATCAGTATTATCAAGAATGTTATAATGAACTTCATCCTCCTCCTGTACAAAAACCAGAAGAACCAACCCCAAAACCAACTTCATCTATTACTAGTGATGATACGCAAGAAATAATTCGCTTGTTACAACAACAAGTCGAATAACAGGAACAAATAATTGATGTACTTCAAGAAAAGATTCAGACCTTAGAACAACAATCTCAACTTATTACTACCTTTCAGAATAGAATTGATCATCTAGAAGCCTTCCATCATAGATTACGAGGATTATACTCAGAGTTTTCTCTTTCTAAAAATAGATCTTTAAATTTTTAAATAATCCTATGCACGATGAAAAACTACTTGGTGATTCAGACGAATTACCAACAGAAACAGATGCCCTCAACCTAGCTATACAACAAAATTTATTAAAACATAAAGTATATACAATAACCTAAGAAGTGATCCCAAAGATAGGACCTTTAACTCCAAGTCAAAGAGCTTAATTTCACTAATTGCTTCTTGAATTTGCTGACCTTTTCGCAAAAGATATTACTCAACTAGAAAGAACCAATCTAGTTACTCATTGAATATATACTAAAGATATACCTCCTATTAGTTCTCAACTCTATATGGTACCTCAAGCTGAACAAAAATTTATTAACAAAGAAATACAACGAATGTTAGATAATTAATTGATATGAGAATCTTCAAGTCCCTGGGCCTCCCCTGTTATACTTGTAGCCAAGAAAAATGGCAAGAAAAGATTTTGTATAGACTATAGGAAATTAAATGCTGTTATCAAGAAGGATCAATACCAATTACCCCGAATAGATGAAATATTGGATTCATTAGCTGGAGCCACCTACTTTTCACTTTAGATCTTATGAGTGGATATTGTCAAGTTATGGTACACCCTGCAGATAGAGAAAAGACTGCTTTCATTACAAGATATGGCACCTATGAATTTAATGTGATGCTATTTGGATTGTGCAATGTCCCTACAACTTTCTAACGTCTTATGAATCAAGTCTATAAGGATATTGCTTACAAATACATAGTAGTTTACCTTGATGATACTAACGTATTTTCTCGAACATCTGATGATCATATCGAGCACCTACACGAAGTATTTACAAGAATCAGAAAAGCTGGACTCAAGCTTAACATCGAAAAGTATAACTTTTGGATGAAAAGATTACCTTTTCTTGGACATATTATAGAAGAAAAAGGAATCTCTTCAGACCCAGACAAGATAGTTGCTATACAAAATATTCTATCTCTAACAAGTGTTATTCAACTAAGATCTTTCTTAGGACTAGCTGGATATTACCGATGATTCATTAAACACTTTTCTTCTATTGCTCAACCTCTTAATCAGTTATTGCATAAAGATACTCCTTATAAATGGAGTTCAAGTTGTCAAAAAGCTTTTGATGAACTTAAACAAAGATTAGTTACTGCCCCTATACTAATCTATTCTAACTACAAGAAAGAGTTTATATTGGCCACTGATGCTTCTTATACTGGATTCGGAGCTACCCTGAGTCAAATTTCAGATGATCAAAAAGAACACCCCATTGCCTATGTGAGTAAAAGTTTAAAGAAGGAAGAAATTAACTATGGAGCTACTAAACTAGAATGTATTGCCATAGTATAAACCATTGAACATTTTCATAAGTATTTTGGAACTGATCATTTTACTTTGATCACTGACCATTCTGCTCTTAAATGGTTAAAATCATCCCAACCTAAAAGATAATTAGGTCGATAGATAATGAAGTTACAACTTTATAATTTTACTATCATACATAAACCAGGACGAATCCATTTCAATGTTGATGCATTATTACGACTTGAGAACCAGACACAACCTATACCTATCGCCCCCACATGAATTTGGATCACTATTAGAATTTAGTGAACTATTTAGAATCAGACAAAATTCCTTTTGACTTAGTGGACTATGAAAAACAGACACTAATTAGTCAATTAAAATATTATCAACTCAAAGACAAATTATTATACAAAAAGAATCGAATAGATCCAGACAAACCTATTCATATAATTAAATGGACCGAAGTAGAACCTGTTCTCTATATGATGCATAGTCATCCTACCGCTAGACACTTAGGAACTAATGCTATGTATTATAAAATATCTGAGAGATATTATTGGGACCAAATGTATAAAGATATACAGAACTATATTCGCTTATGTAAAACTTGTCAGAAGAGACAGAAAGGTAGATGAAAGAAACCACTCCATCCTATTCAAGTTGAACAAGCCTTTGAATATATTGGTATAGATCTTGTAGGACCTTTACTAATAACTGCTCAAAATAATCGGTATATTATTGTTACTACTGATTACCTTACTCGATGGCCTGAAGCAAAAGCTGTTGTTACGGGTTAATAAGTGACTTTCGTCACAAACAACCTAGTCCAAACGGCGAGCACTTAATTGCTTTGCTATAACTGATTCTCAGTTTATATTAAGGCAAGTATTTTGTTTACTACTCAAATGAACTTTATTTATTAATTAAGAGAGACCGATTCTTACTCTATTATTACAATCGCTTCCCTAAATACATATTTCGGTCACATTACTTACATCATAATTCGTTCATATATAATCATATGATCATTTGACTCTTATATTACCAATAAATTACCTTATATTTCATGCATACTACTTCGATTGCATAACTGATCATTACTCGATCTCTTAATCCTGATCGATCACGTACTTGTCACGTGCATTATGTGCACAAGATAACGATTGATCACTTGCTTTACCTTAATTCCTATACAAGTTTACCGCATACTGTATATCACCATGACACAAGCTAGAGCCCCAGAAACTTTGTCTTCAAAGTTTCTAGCACAAGAACAGCCTACTTCCTAGCAATATCTGCAAAACTAATCCCCATATTCTTATAATTTTCCACAAGTTCTCCAGCAAGACTCTTCCACGATCGAATATTCTTCTAATTCGGATTTCAAGTAGGTGTTCACCTTTCCTTCGCTCTTTCTTTTTTTCTCATTATTCTTAATCGTTTTATTAATCTTAGTTTTTTTTTTACCATCTATATAATGTTCTTTTCATGTTTCATTTTTCTATTATCAACATCATCAATTTTTACTTTTAACTGCTTACTTTTCTTTCTATTATACTCCTTCATATCCGTCTTATTCTTTACATGCATACTATCCCTTTGATTCCTTTCAATCTTTATCACCAATTCACAATCACGAGCAAGATATTCATCATGGCTAGACTTTTTATCATGAAATTCATAGTATTTATTATTTTTTATACTTTCATCACATGTTCTTTCGACACTTTCCATTTCACTTCTAATGATTTTCGCTCTACCATCTGCAGCTTTATCCCCGTTTTCATCATTTTTGACTCCAACTTCAGGTATGTTATGTTCATTAACTTCCGCTTTTCTTATTTCAACTGATTGAACATAATAATAAACTATCTTTTCTCTCATAATTACATTACTCACATTATTTTCTCCACTCGGCCTTTCATTACCAATTACCTCTTCACAATTACCACTATGTATTCGTTCAGCAACTCACATCTTGGCTCCTTCTTCATCACAATATATGTCGGATATTGTATTTCTGCTTTTAATCAATTTTTCCCGGTCAAATACTAATCTATTTTCATCTTCTACTTTAGGTTCTACCAGCAATTCTCCACCCTCAACATACTCCGAATTCTGCTCAAGCATTTGCTTTTTGTCCTTGTCTATATTACTGGTGTTTTGGTAGCAGGTGAGTATCTTATTTTCGTCCCTTTTAATTTTCTTCTTTTCATCATCACAATGTCCGATACTATATAATCCACTTACATCCTCTTTCTTCTCGTTTTCACCACTCTCCTTTTCATCACTTGCTTTAACTGCACTTTCCTTCATATTCTCTACCTCTTTTACAAAATCATTACAATCTGCATTATCCCAGAACCATTCAAGTAAACTTGTCTCACAATTTGCATCAGGCTTCGAGTCTTTACAAGATACTTTATTTTCAACTTTACCAACGTTTTCTTCTTTCTCTGTACTATCATTCAAACACCACCATGCTAAATCCATCTCATAGGCTGTTACTACAATTATTTGGCAAGATTAATGGTAATCTGCCCAGGTTCTCATGTTGCAGGTTAATAAGTGACTTTCGTCACAAACAACCTAGTCTAAATGGCGAGCACTTAATCGCTTTGCTATAACTGATTCTCAGTTTATATTAAGGCAAGTATTTTGTTTACTACTCAAATGAACTTTATTTATTAATTAAGAGAGACCGATTCTCACTCTATTATTACAATCGCTTCTCTAAATACATATTTCGGTCATATTACTTACATCATAATTCGTTCATATACGATCATACGATCATTTGACTCTTATATTACCAATAAATTACCTCATATTTCATGCAAACTCCTTCGATTGCATAACTGATCATTACTCAATCTCTTAATCCCGATTGATCACGTACTTGTCACGTGCATCACGTGCACAAGATAACAATTGATCGCTCGCTTTACCTTAATTTCTATACAAGTTTACCGCATACTATATATTACTATGACACTGTACTGGATGCTGGAGCAGAAACTTTAGCTAAATTTATATTTGAAGAAATTGTATATAGACATGGCATACCCAAAATGATACTCTCTGATAACGGAAGAAATTTTATTAGTAATTTGTCAAGATCTTATGCAAAAGTTCTTGATAAAACATATATTTTCTTCCCCATATCACCCACAAACTAATGGTATGGTTGAACGCCTAAATCGAACACTTTGCAATTCTCTTGCAAAAGTAAAAGAAACAAATGAAGAATAGGATATACATATACCAGCTGTCTTATTCGCATATAGGACTAAATGACATGCAACTACTGAATATACACCTTTTCAATTGGTATATGGAGGACAAGCTATACAACCTGTTGAAGCTACTCTCCCAATTAAACCACAAGATACAGATAAAAAATATCTCTAGAAGATAGTATTTTATCGCGAGCATTTGAATTAATAGATGAATTAGCCTATCAACATAATGAAGCTCGAAAGAATACTGAACGATTTCAAAAGAAACAGAAAGTAAGATTCAATTCGAAAATTCGAGTAGAAGAGTTTGAAATTGAAGATAAAGTATGGATACAATGAAAAGATATCAAAGCTTTTCGATCTGCTAAATTCGAGGAAAAACGAACTGGACCCTTTATTATCTAAGCAAAACTAAATAACGGAGCATACAAGCTTTTAACGTTAAAAGGCAAAACACTATTAGGATATTATAATAGTGATCGTCTTGTCTGTTACTATGAGAAACAGAACTGGCAACCCACTGTTGTCATTAACAATTAACACTTTTCAACCCCAAACCCTAACTTATACTTAGA